ATAAATAATGCTAAATTTATATTAATTTAGCTTTGCAATCTTGACAAAATATTCTAATTATTTTTTTATAATATTTATACTAATTTATCAATAACTTACTAAAAACTTCATGATTCATTACTAATTAATCATTATTAATTCATTACTCAATGTTTTTGATGGGTGGTTGTCGCCACCTATTGGCCGAACCTTGTAATTTCTACAACATTGCTAGTAGACAGTACTGTGTTGCTTTTTTAAAGGTGATTAACCCAAAAAGTAAAGTTTTCCGAGTACTTCTGAGAAGATTTGATAGTTTGTAACCTAAAAATGAAAACTCTAACGTTAGATGAATAGACTAAAGACTGAACATCTCTGTGGGTCAAAAGCCGGTTTGTAAACACAGCAAAGAGAAAGAAACATATGCAAATCCCGACCATTTATAAGGATTTCGTTGGTGTTATCAGGTGCTGATGTTGTAGCTATGAAATCCATACATTTAGGACGGCTAAACAAGTCAAATAAGTGTTACAAAAATGTTTACAAACCTAAAAAGGCCGTCCATTTCGCGTCAGGTCCATAGACTGTAAAATAACCACTTGGCTGACGCAGCCGCAGAATAATCGCGCCTAAATTACACGCATGCGCAGAATAGCAAAAAATAAATATTTCTTATCGATTGTCTTTCATTATATCATTTAATTCACAAAATTAAATAAAACATATATATTTTAAATTAATTTTGCATTTATTTAAAAAATTTAATTAATAAAAATAGCATCTAGAACCGCCCCTGGCTCGAAGTGCATCAGACTAAACCAAAAACAGTCATAGGGGATTCTCGAGTCATTTTCAATGTCTTAACAATGTTAAAGGGGTGTATCATTAAACAAAGCTCCTCAAAACTGGGAGAGATTGTCTTGTTTGGAGTATTACAATAGTTTCAACTGATGGTTTTAGTTTTATTCCTCATCTTGACATGATCTTGAACAACATCTCGGCCTCCAGACACCCCTAAAACAATATTGAACCAATGTATGTTGCTGTTTTCCTCGTTTTGCCTTTTAAGCCAGGACATTTTCGTCAGTTTGATGTCAGAGGAGGATTGGAAGGCAATAGAGTCGATATTTAGAGGTTCACTGATTTGTCCAAAGAGCATCAAATAAAACCAAAATAAAAATAAAAACAACAACAGCAAATAAAAGATATAAGGAATTCCCAACTCATTTTTGAATGTCTTAAAAGTTAGTTTTCCCCAAAATGACAGTTGTCTTCAAAATATTTTGTTTTGTGATGCAAAAGAAAGAAACTCATTTAAGTTTAGAGCCACATGAGTGTGAGTAAATGGCGAGGAAACTCTTTTGTTAAAATTATGCCTTTAACACTTTGATGCACAAGCTATAAAATAGATTAAAAAAATAATCTTAGACAAGTCACTTTAGACCCATATAGTGCATCAGAGGGTTAAGTATGTTAAAGGGCTTTCTCATTAAACAAATCTCCTCAAAACTGGGGTGTGAAGGCTGATGTTGTCAGTGTTATTCCTCAAGTAAAAGTTACATCCCTCCAAGTAAATGATGAGGAAACTTTCAGTTTTGGGAGAATTGTCCCTTTATGAATGTTAATGGGGTGTATAATTAAACAAAGCTCTTCAAATCTAGTAGAGATTGTCTCCTTTGGACTATTGCAATAGTTTCGACTGAAGTTTTTGTTTTATTCCTGATCTTTATGGGGTCTTGAAGAACAACTCGGCCTCCGGATGCTACTAATTCACTGGCGGACATGATTCTGTCAACGTCTTTTCCTCACTTTTTCCTTCATCCTGGAAGTTTTCACCAGAGTCTTAAATTAAAGGAGGACTGGAAGGCATCGGAGTGGATATTTTGGTCAGATCCACTGACTGGACTGTATTTGTATGGAGTATACCAAATTAAGGCGGTTCTTCAGTCATTTAAAGGGGCAGTTCACCCAAAAATGAAAATTCTGCCCTCATTTATTCACAACCAAGTGGTTCTAAACTTTGAAGAGTTTCTTGTATTGATTCTTCACAATATCTGGCTCTTTCTTTTACAGAAGAAACTCATACAAGTTTTGAACCACTTGAGTGCAAGTAAATGATGAGGAAACCTTTAGTTTTGGGGAATCTGTCCCGTTAAGAATATTTAAAGAGTGTATTATAAACAAAGCTTCTCAAAAGTTAGAGAGATTGTCCTGTTTTTACTATTACAACAGTTCCGACTGATGTTTTAAGTTCTATTCCTTATCTTAACATGGTCTTTAACAACAGCTCAGCCTCCGTATCCTTCTAAACCACTGGTGGTTTAGGATATTTCGGTTAGATCCACTGACTGGACTGTATTTGTATGGAGTATGCCACACCAAAACAATTGATAAAGGCGATTTTCAGTCATTAAAATCGTCTTAATTTCCCAGGTTGCAGCTGGAAGAGAATCTGGAGTGTAAAACATATGCTAGATAAGTTGGCGGTACATTCCACTGTGGCGACTCCTGATTAACAAAGGGACTAAGCCGAAAAGAAAATGAATGAATAAATGAACTGTCTTAAAGGGACAGTTCACTTAAAAAAGAAAATTCTGCCCTCATTTATTCACAATTAGGAGTTTCTTTCTTCTATTGAACACATCAATGGCTCCTTTTTCCAGCATTCTGCACAGTACCTTGCTCTTTTTTTAAACAGAATAAAGAAACTTATAAAAGTTTTGAACCAATTGAGTGCAAGTAAACAATGAGGAATCTTTCAGTTTTGGGTGAACTGTTCCTTTAAGAATGTTTAGGGGTTAATTACTAAACAAAGCTCCTCTAAACTGGGAGAGATTGTCTGGTTTGTACTATTACAATATATTCAACTGATATTTTTAGTTCTATTCCTCATCTTGACTTGGTCTTGAAAAACAACTCGGCCTCCGCATGCTCCCAAATCACTGGCAGACATGATTCTGTCGATGTCTTTTAACCTGCACCATCTTTTCCTCACTTTCGCCTTCATCCTGAACTTTTTCACCATGAATCTGACAATGGAAGAGCTTTGGGAGGCATCAAAGTTGATATTTTGGTCAGATCCACTGATTAGACATCAATTGGAGTTTCTCATTGGACTGTGTATGAAGTTTACCAAAACAAAACAAATGGCAAAGTGGGTTCTTGAGTTGAGTCTTAAAGGAACAGTTCACCCAATAATCCACAGATGCTGGGACATCAATCAGAGCAGGCTGTATCTTCTGCTTCTTCACCTGTTTCTCCAGGAGTTTCTGAATGGACTGTATTTGTCAGACATACAGTATACCAAATCAAATATAAATGAATGCTATAGGGGATTCTCAAGACATTTCTAATGTCTAATGAAAGGGATAGTTCACCAAACAATGAAAATTCTGTCCTTCATTCATCCTCAACTTGTTCCACAGTTATTCAAGCTTCATTGTCTTCTAAAAAACACCTGAAGAATGCTGGATAAAAACAGCCATTGACATTGAATAGGAATAAAAGACACTATTGATGTCACCATCTTAAGTCAATGGTAGGGAAATTGTGTAAACTGTCACTTTGAGAACGTTAAATGTGCGTATCATTAGACAAAGCTGCTCAAGACTAGTAGAGATTGTCTGTTTCCTCCTCACATTCTCCTTTATCCTGGACTTTACACCAGAATCTGACATTGGAGGAGCATTGAATGGCATTGAAGTTTATTTTGGTCAGATCCACAGATGGGACATCAATCGGAGCAGGCTGTATCTTCTGCTTCACCTGTTTCTCCAGGTGAATGAATTGTTATTGTAAAAGTATATGCAATTAAACCAAAAAAAACAATCAATAAAGAGGGTTCTAATGACATTTTCAATGTGTTAATGTGACAGTTCAATAAAAAAAGTGAAAATTCTGCCTTTCTTCCATCAGCAACCTGTTCCAGACGTGTTTGAGCTTCATTTTCAGCTGAAAATAGGTATACTGAAGAATGCTGGATAAAAACCAGTCATTGACTTCCACACTGTTTTTATTCTTATGGATGTCACCATCATAAGTAAATGGTGAGGAAATAAAAATGAGTGTAAACTGTCACTTTAAGAATGTTAAAGGGGCGTAAAAATAAACAAAACTCCTCAAAATTGGGAGATTGTCTGGTTTGTACTATTACAATAGTTTCGACTGATGTTTTTAGTTTTATTCCTCATCTTGACATGGTCTTGAACAACAACTCGGCCCTTTGGATAGTCCTAAACCACTGACAGACATGATTCTGCCGACTTCTTTTGCTCTGCACCGGCTTTTTCTCAATTTCTCCTTCATCCTGGACACTTATACAAGAATCTGACATTGGAGGAGCACTGGAAGGCATTGAAGTTTATATTTTGGTCAGATCCACAGACGGGACATCAATCGGAGCAGGCTGTATCTTCTGGTTCATCTGTTTCTGCAGATGAATGAATTGCAATTGTCCAAAGTATATGAACTCAACCAAAAAACAATCAATAAAGAGGGTTCCAATGTCATTTTCAATGTGTTAATGGGACAGTTCAATAAAACAGTGAATATTCTGCCTTTTTGAGCTGTTTTGAGCTTCATTTACTGCGGAAAAAAGGTATACTGAATTGTTGGATAAAAACCTGTCATTGACTTCCATACTGTTTTAATTCCTATGGATGTCACCATCATAAGTAAATGGTGAGGAAATAAAATTAGTGTAAACTGTCACTTTAAGAATGTTAAAGGGGCGTAAAAATAAACAAAGCTCCCCAAAATTGCGAGAGATTGTCTGGTTTGTACTATTACAATAGTTTTTTCTATTAACAGTTTTATTCCTCATCTTGACATGCTCTTGATCAACAACTCGGCCCTTTGGATCATTTGGTAGATTCTGCAGATGTCTTTTGCTCTGCACCGGCTTTTCCTCACTTTCTCCTTTATCCTGGATGTTTTCCCTAGTATCTGACATTGCAGGAGCACATCAAAGTTGATCTCAATTAATTTCTAAAGGGACAGTTCACCAAACAATGAAAATTCTGTCCTTCATTCATCCTCAACTTGGTCCACATTTATTCAAGCTTCTATTTTTTTTTTTTTTGCTAAAAACAGATATATTGAAGAATGCTGGATTTAAAAAAATCCCACCATTGACCTCCATAGTGTTTTTACTCCTATTATGGATGTCAACAGCGTAAGTAAATGGTGAAGAAATAAACATTTTGAGTGAACTGTCACTTTAGGAATGTTAAAGGTGCGTATCAAAGCTGCTCAAGACTTGTAGAGATTGTCAGGTTTGAAATATTACGATGGTTTCAATGGACCTTATAAACGATCAGTTGATGGTTTCATTCCTCATCTGGACGTGGTCTTGAACAAAAACTCAGCCTTCGGATGCTCCTAAACCCCTGGTGAACATGATTCTGTTGACGTCTTTTAGTCTTCTCCTCACTTTCCCCTTTATCGTGGATATTTTCGCCTGAATCTGAAATTTGAGGAGGACTAGAAGGCATCGGACTGGATATTTCCTGACGTGACATCAATTGGACCAAGCTGTATCTTCTGTTTCTTCACCTGCTTCTCCAGATGTTTCTGGCAAAAATTGTAATTGTCTGAAGTTTATGCAATCACACAAAAAAAACAATCAATAAAGAGGATTCTAAGGTCATTTTCAAAGTGTTAAAGGGACAGTTCAGTGAATTTCTTTCATCCTCAACCTGTTCCAGACCTGTTTAAGCGTCTTTTTCTGCTGAAAAAAATATACTGAAGAATTCTGGATAAAAAAAACAGCCACTGACCTCCATACTGTTTTTATTCCTAGTATGGATGTCAACAGGTTAAGTAAATGGCAAGGACATATACATTTTGTGTGAACTGTCACTTTAAGAATGTTAAAGGTGCGTATCAAAGCTGCTCAGGATTAGTCGAGATTGTCTGGCTTGAAATATTACGATGGTTTCAATGGACTTTATAAATGTTTTTAGTTTTATTCCTCATCTTGACGTGGTCTTGAGCAACAACTCGGTCTCCGGATGCTCCTAAACCACTGGCGGACATGATTCTGTCGACGTCTTTTAATCTGCACCGGCTTCTCCTCACTTTCTCCTTTATCCTGGATGTTTTCAGCCGAACCTGAAATTGGAGGAGGACTGGAAGGCATCGGCGTGGATATTTCGCTCAGATCCACACACGGGACATCAATCGGACCAGGTTGTATCTTCTGCTTCTTCACCTGCTTCTCCAGGTGCTTCTGAATAGCAGTTCCCAGCACCGCCACCTCCACCACCGCTCCGTAAACCTCCCAAGTCATGCCTTTTTCATCCCAGCTTACCTCCTGCACGGGTTCCGGAGAATCTTCTATTACAATCCCAATCCTTGGTTCTGGCTCTGGGATGACCTCTGGAGCGGTTAAAATAACAGGAGTCATTGGAGCTGTGGCTACAGAACACATCTCTGGGGCATTCAGAACTATAGGAGTCATTGGAGCTGTGCCTATCGAATGCATCTCTGGGGCATTTAGTACTGTAGGAGTCATTGGAGCTGTGCCTGTCGAATGCATCTCTGGAGCATTTAGTACTGTAGGAGTCATTGGAGCTGTGCCTGTCGAATGCATCTCTGGAGCATTTAGTACTGTAGGAGTCATTGGAGCTGTGCCTATCGAATGCAGCTCTGGAGCATTCAGTACTAAAGGAGTCATTGGAGCAGTGGCTACAGAATGCGTCTCTGGAGCGTTCAGAACTAAAGGAGTCATTGGAGCTGTGGCCACCGAATGCATCTCCACATTTTTAGTCTCTAAGTCCTCCTGGTTGCATTTATTAGCGAGCTTTCCAAAAGTGCTTGGAAAAATGAAAGTTCCAGAAGCTTCTGGTGGAGTCATGGGACTGGTGGCCACCGAATGGTACATCACCTCAAGACTGACTTGTGTTTGCACATGTTGAGTGCGAATAGGAGATCGACTCAAATCCAGCTTCTCTTTAGCCGGTTCGCTTTTATTTGCATCGACTTTTCCTACATCCTCAGACTGTGTGGGCTGATCTTTCAGACTTTGTGTGCTACAAACATCCGATTCCTGTGGTGGGTTTGACTTTGTGCAAATTGGGTCTGGATCCTCTTGAGATTTAGGTTGTTCTTCAGTTGTTGTATTAGTTGAGGTGTTGTTTACGACGTTGGTTTTCTGGATTTGACTTACTTCAATCATGTTGGCCACAACAATTGATCCATCAAGATTATCCTCATCAATCAGTTCTCGAACATCAACACTAGATATTACAGCTTCAGTACAAGCCGTCTGCTCTTCATTTGTGTCCTCATCCTCTTCCTCCTCTAAATTGCAATCATGATTGGTCACCAGAATGGTGATCTCCTGATCAATGCACATCTCCTTACATCTCTCTTTGCATGCTGGATCATCAACCTCCATTTCAGTTTGAGGGGAAGATAAATCCTCGATTCGCAGTTCAGGTGGATTCACAGACTGTTGGATGATCTCCTCTTGGACTGCACTCTCTGGTGCTTTCACTTTTTCATCAGTGTCATTAATGAGAGGATAGTCAATGCTTCGGTCTTCTGGGTTTATACTTGTGCTGGTCTCCGAGCCAACTTTCCAAACTTCACTCTCTGTCAAAACCGGACCCTCCATGAGTTCAGAGATGAGTTTGTGGCGAAGCAAAGTGAAATGTGTTTCACACCACTGAGGGTTAGCTGGAAAGCATGCACATAAATGCATTAGTACTTATTGAAAACATATAACAGATTTAGCTGATATTTTTGTCCAAAGTGACTGACATTTTAGGAGGCGTATTACATCAGAGATTTATTCTGGGTTCAATTTTATTCATTGTAAAAACAAACACTATTATAAAACACATATTGTTTTCGATTTGTACTGATTAAATAAACACCATTAAAAAATCTGATCACACTTTACAATAAGGTTTCATCTTTAGTATGTATTTACTAACATTAACTAATTAGGAACAGTACATGCAAATCCTTAATCGTTATTAAATTATACAAGGTCACACTTTACAATAAGGTTCATTAGTTAATGTTAATTAATGTATTTACTAACATGAACAAACAATGAACAATACGTCTACTACTGTATTTGTTAATGTTAGTTAACGTTAAAAATACAGTAGTTCATTGTTAGTTCATGTTAACTCACGGTGCATTAACTTATGTTAACAAGCATGGATTTGAATGTTAATAATGCATTAGTAAATGTTCAATTATGATTAATAAATGCTGTACAAGTGTTGTTCATGATTAGTTCATGTTAGTAAATGCATTAACTAATGAACCTTATTGTAAAGTGTTACCGAATATAACCTTATATTATGAAAATCTATACTGTACAGAAAGAAGAATGGAAACGAGTAATAAATGTGTTCAGAAAATACAGACCAACATCTGAGCAGAGATTTTGGTTTAATGAATCCAGACATGATAATTGCATACACACTTTAGCCTCGGATGATCTCAAATATCACTTCTCTATGAGTCAGTATCTATTTGTCTGTTTTTAACTAGATTAAATGCCATGCCAGCTATCTGATTTGGTTCTTCTACCCATGCCAAAATAAATAAACCCCCAAAAACTTGCTCAGTACCAGTATACGCTTAACAACAAACAAAACTACGACACACACACACACGATGAGACGTTATTAGAAAAACACCACAACGACACATACCTCAGCTGAACGCCAGATCCAAAGCGGAGTCCATACTGTCAAAGATTTCACCAGCAAAGCATGTCTTCACACTGAGCGTCTCGCTTTGGTGCTGGTAGTGATTAGACGCAGGTTTATTTTCCAGAAGAATCTCGGTGGATGGTGGTCCTTGGATTTCACTGTGGCTCCGAGTGCTGAAAGCTTCTGATTTTTAGTTTCCCTGGAAACCAGACTCAACCTGGCAGTGAGTGGTAATGAAATGACAAAGTATCGCTAGCTCTTTTTTTTTTTTTTTTTTTTAAATCAGAAGCAAATGATGGTGCTCAAAAATATCTGGAAAAAAGCAAATTAAATAAAAAATAAAGAGAGCGAGAGAGAACATGAACAATGCACTTATGTAATAATCTCAAATTAAATGCATTCATTTTTTGAAAGTGTGCATTATATTTAATATATTAATTTTCCTTCGGCTTGGTTCCTTTATGCATCAGGGGTCGCCACAGTGGAATGAACTGCCAACTATTCCAGCATATGTTTTACACAGCAGATGCACTTCCAGCTGCAACCCAGTACTGGGAAAGACCCATACACACTCATTTACACACTCATATACTACAGCCAATTTAATTAATCAATTCCCCTATAGTGCATGTGTTTGGACTGTTGTGGAAACCGGAGCACCCGGAGGAAACCCACACGAAGGCAGGGAGAACATGCAAACTCCACACAGAAACACCAACTGGCCCAGCCGAGACTGAAACCAGTGACCTTCTTGCCGTGATGAGACTATGCTGTGCTGCCATAATCTCAAATGAAATGCATTCTATTTTTGAAATGTGCATCAATTTTATTTATTTGAATATATTTTAAGTGTTATATTTAACAATATTATATTTAATAAATTCTATATTCACTTAAACTACATTTAAAGCATTTATTATTTAATAAGCAGATATTTTTTTCCTTTTAAACTACACTGCTCAAAACAGTAAAGGCAACACTTATTTTTTTGAGCAGTATATATTAAATATTCTGCTCTCTCTCTCTCTCTCTCTCTCTCTATATATATATATATATATATATACACTCAACAAAATTGTACTTGTTCAAACTACTTATTTATAATGAGCACACAATTCGTAAGATTTCATTGGGACAACTTAATTTGTTTATGTTCAATCCACATACATTTATTGGAAGTGTTAAGTTAGCTTAATCAGTTTGTGTTAGGACAACATGAATAAATTGTGTGGAATCCTGCATTTTTTACAGTGTAGGGCGGCACGGTGGCTCAGTGGTTAGCACTGTTGCCTAACATCACGAAGATCACTGATTCAAGTTCCGTCTGGGTCAGTTGGCATTTCTGTGTGGAGTTTGCATGTTCTCCCCGTGTTGGCGTGTGTTTCCTTCGGGTGCTCCAGTTTCCCCCACAGTCCAAACACATGCGCTACAGGGGAATTGGATGTTTTAAATTGGCCGTAGTGTATGTGTGTGTGAATGTGAATGTGTATGGGTGTTTTCCAGTACTAGGTTGCAGCTGGAAGGGCAACCGCTGTGTAAAACATATGCTGGAATAGTTGTCGGTTTATTCTGCTGTGGTGGCCCCGAATGAATAAATGGACTAAGCCAAAGGGAAATTAATATACATATACAGCTGAAGTCAGAATTATTAGCTCCCTTTGAATTTTTAAATCTTTTAAAATTCTTTTTAAATGATTCCCAAATGATGTTTAACAGAGCAAGGAAATTTTCACAGTATGTCTGATAATATTGTTTCTTCTGGAGAAAGTCTGACTTGTTTTATTTTGGCTAGAATAAAAGCAGTTTTTAATTTTTTTAATTACCATTTCAGGGACAAAATTATTAGCCCGTTTAAGCTAATTTTTATTTAGATTGTCTACAGAACAAACCATCGTTGTACAATAATTTGCCTAATAATTCTAGCCTGCCTAGTCACCCTAATTAACATAGTTAAGCCTTTAAATGTCACTTTAAGCTGTATAGAAGTGTCTTGAAAAATATCTAGTCAAATATTATTTACTGTCATCATGACAAAGATAAAATTAATCAGTAATTAGAGATGAGTTATTAAAACTATTATGATTAGAAATGTCTAGCAATCAGATTTAGCAATCTGCTCTCTGCTAAACAGAAATTGGGGGAAAAAATAAACAGGGGGGGCTGATAATTCTGACTTAAACTGTATATAATTAGTAGTATATTATTAATATATTAATTATACATTATCACTGAAAAAGTGTTGCATGCAGAACTGTTGCAAACAATTTATTTGTGTTGAATTTAAACAAACAAATTAAGTTTAATAATCTTCAACTTAATTTGTTTGTTTAAATTCAACACCAATAAAAAAATTTGGTAAATCCAAGGAATAATCTCTGAATTTTTTTTTTCGGTGTACTAGATTCCACACAATTCATTCATGTGCTCTTAATATAATTCGATTAAGTTAACATAACAAATTTAAGCGTACTAATCATAACAAATTAAGTTGCTTCCAAAAAATCTCCAGAATTGTGTTGTTTAAGCTCATTTTAAATAAGCAGTTTGAACAAGCAGCAGTAATATTCTTTTTGAGTGTAGATCAGAGGAATTATATCATACATTTCTTCACATTAGACAGATTCAGCATATAGGGATCCAGGTCTTTTAAATTCATATTTTAATTAGGAAGCTCTACAATATTATATGTGTGCATATACATTAGATTAGTCAGTACTGGAGCCAAATCTGAAGCTTATCCTACAAAATAAATTATGATAACGTTCCAAAACAAGGACAGCCAAATTGAAATGTTTTATAAAAATATAAGAGGAAAAAGATATAAGAGGAAAAATAAAAAAATAAATAAAATAGAAAAATTTTGTTGAAATTTTATTGGTTGTAATTTTTTGCTTGAATTTATTTGTATTATCTTTCCATTTCTAAATATGTTTGGTGACTAAAATATTATTTTAATAAATATATCTGTTTAACTAAATCGGTTTTGTTTAAATGCACCAAAATACACTGAATATATTCACTGAGAAATGGAGGAAAATATTCATTTTAAAAATGTACAAATAAATTCAGCGAGCAGAAGTATAAATGCATAGCTACGCGCGTTGCATGCGCCGTGGGTTACGCCGGTCACTTGACGCAGAGGTTTAAACCAGGCTTCTGCGCGCTGTCTCTGTTGGTCTGCATTAACAATTCCGAAACACTAGTGGGCGGTGAGGTGTAAATGTTCCTCTGTGTCGAGTTTCTTCGCTGATGTTTTGCTTTTCCTGAACACTTCCGGGATGTACAAGTGGCTCAAACTCGCTCATTTTGAGGCAGGAACCGGCGGACGTGCAACAACTTTAACTATGAGGTAAACACAAATCAAGTCTTTCCATCCGGAGCTCCTTCACGGGACTCCACACTTGTAAACAATCGCTCCATCAGGCTCGCGACATTCACGCGGCTCTCGGTCCCGCCCAGACTCGTCAGCGCTACCAAGCCGACCAATCACAGAGCTTGCCATACGCGTCGTTGCGATGTGTAGTTACATTTTTTGAGATGTGCACGTCAGCAACGCCGACGGCCACGGCGAAGGGCTATGCGTCAGCGCCGTAGCATACGCCGGCGTTTGACGCAGAAGTATAAATCAGCCTTTAGAAGGAAAGCATTAGTAATTTTTCTTTTCTTTTTTTTTTTTTTTGGAGTACAGTTAGTGTCATATCCAGAGAGGCAATTGCAGATTAAGAAGTGGAATCCTAAGTGAAGTTTATCTATAAACTAATTTGGAGAGGATCACATGCTCATGATTGCTTGCGGCTGGTCCCGCATTATTCAATTTATGATTCACCAATCAGACGATTCCTAAGTCACTATAAATACCCTCAGTTCCATATCACAGCCATCTTCGTTTTGAAGAATCCCCCCTTCCACCCCTACTCCTCCTTCTTTACTAGATGGGTGGCACGATGGCCCATTGGTTAGCAGTGGTTGCCTTACAGCAAGAACTTCACTAGTTTTAGTCTTTACCAAGCCAGCTGACATTTCTGTGCAGAGTTTACACGTTCTCCCATGCTCACGTTTCCTCCGGCTTCCCCGGTTTCCTCCCACCATCCAAAAACATGCATCTTAAGTTAACTGACTAATCCAAATCAGCACCATAAAGACATGCTCCTGTAAGTAGTTATCTCTTAAGAGCAATCACTATCTGTTTATTAGCTACTACAGCAGGAGAGTTCTCGAGATCTACCTGAGCTCAAACTCCCCTCTCGCCATGCAAACGGGAGGGAACCCCGGGCTGGAGGATCTTATGAGCTCAATGCTCTCTCCCAGGACAGCATGCCAAACAAGCTTTATAATCAATCATCAGCTAAGTGTGAACTCTTGAAATTACTACTTCTATAGGATGATTTACAATATATAGATGATTATATATATTTTTCAAGACACTTCTATACAGCTTAAAGTGAGTAATTAGGTTAGGGTAATTAGGCAAGTTATTGTATAATGAATAATGTATAAATTAATGTGTTGTTGTATAATGTTTGTTCTGTAGACTAGCAAATAAATTATGTAATATTGACCTTAAAATTCTTTTTAAAAAAAACTAATAACTGCTTTTATTCCAGCTGAAACAAAACAAATAAGACTTTCTCCAGAAGAAAAAATATTATCAGACATACTGTGAAAATTTCCTTGCTCTGTTCAACATCATTTGGGAAATATTTCAAAAAGAAAAAACAAAAATCAAAGGGGGGCTAATAATTCTGACTTCAATTGTACATTAGCTTAGTCAGTTCTGAAGCCAAATCTGGAGCTAATCTAACAAAATAACTTATGATGATGGTCCAATAACTAGTGCACCCAAATGTATATGTTATAGAAAAATATTAAATACAAATTTAAGAAAGACGAAAAATCTAATTTTGTAGGTTGTATTTTTTTTTTTGCAACATTTTCCTTGAATTTAATTGTATTATCTTTCTATTTCTAAATATGTTTGGTGACTAAAATATTATTTTAATAAATATATATGTTTAATTATTAATCTGCATAAAAACGTGCTGGATAAGTTGGCGGTTCATTCCGCTGTGGCGACCCCTGATTAATAAAGGGACTAAGCCAACAAGAAAATAAATGAATGAATTTCAGTTTAATCAATCGGTTTTGTTTAAATACACCACAATACACTGCCTATATTCACTGAGAAATGGAGAAAAATACTCATTTTCAAGTTGAACGC